CCAGCGGCACCGTGTCTGTCATGTAATGATGGGCCACAGCTGTCCCTCCCATCACTTCCGTCATGTCCAGGACACGTTTTCACACCTGTGTCCCCACTGTGGGGATGCCATGGAATTATCTTGCGACATTATCTCTCTGATGAAGCTTGTCAGCGTAAATTCCTAATTACTTGCGTTTTTTGCCACCACCCCCTGTCCTGAAGCCCCAGGCGCTCTGGGGTGTATAAAAGACCTGAGCTCCTTGCAGAGTTCCATCCGCATCCATCCACTTGACTCCTCTCCTCACCAGGGTAAGCGCAGCTCCCCAAAGCCTCTTGGGGTTCTCTTTCTGTCTCCTTCCATGCAATTCCATTCCTCACACCTTCGCTCTCTTCTGGGGGTGTTTTCCAGAAATTTCTGACTGTCTGAAGGATGTCCTGCTCCAGCCTGTGCGTCCCCACCTGTGGGGTGGCCACCCCGGCCCCTCTGGCTGACACCTCCAACGAGCCCTGCGTGCGGCAGTGCCCTGACTCCACGGTGGTCATCCAGCCCCCGGCCTCGGTGGTCACCTTCCCCGGGCCCATCCTCAGCTCCTTCCCGCAGCAGAGCGCCGTGGGCTCTGCAGGAGCTCCCTACGTCGGAGCCGGCTCCGGTGGCTCCTTTGGAAGCCGTGGAGGCTACGGCGGTTGGGGCTACGGAGGCTACGGAGGGGGCTACGGCGGTTATGGGGGCTGGGGCTATGGAAGCCGTGGTGGCTATGGGGGTTGGGGCTATGGAGGCCGTGGGGGCTATGGGGGCTGGGGTTGTGGAGGCTATGGGGGCTATGGTGGCTACGGTGGCTGGAGCAGCGGCCACCGCTACCTCAATGGCAACTGTGGGCCCTGCTAAGCTCCATCCTGAGTGTGGCCTCAGACCAAAGAGAGCTCCAGGAGAAACCCCGGCACATCCCGACCCGACACTCTGTGCAAGAAAACCCCTTTGGCATCGCCGGGCTCTGCACCTTGGACGCCTCGAGCCAGCTGGGGAACCACCTCTGCCTTGTTCCTGCCCCGCCTGAGCATCCCCACGGGGCTCCGTGTGCCCCGATCCCAGAGACTCGCCCGGAGCTGCTGCTCCTGCTCACCCGCCTCTGCCCAGGGCCAGGACACGGCAAGCCCTTGGCCATGGCCCTGCTCTTCTGCCAAGCCCCTCCTGCCCTCCCCCTGCAATAAAACTGTCTTGCATTGCAACCTTGACTCCTGGTTTTGCTTCCTCCTCCCTTTTGCCCACTGCCTGCAGTCTCCCGGCTGTCTGCTGGGCTCTTGGAATCCCCCTGGGCAGCGCCCTTGGAGCCTGGGGACAGCTGGCTCCGTGTGTCCCAGCCGAGGATGTCAGACCCCGCTGGCTCTGGGCAGCACATCCCAGCCGGCTGCCCGTGTTCTCCCAGCAGCAGGAAACGCAGGACGTTCCCAAAGCCCGCGCTGACAATGGGAAATTGCCCCAAGGGTCTTGCAGGAACTCTTCCAAACCCTCAGCCCGAGCAGCAAACCTGACACCACCTCTTGGGCTGGACAGCCAGTGGTTGGTCTCACTGAAAGCTCCAGGGCAATGCAGGGATGAGCACCCCATGGCCCAGGTGTTCTGGGCTGTCCAGCTGGAGGTGGTGGCAGCTGGGAAGGGAGGAGATAGAGCCAAGCAGATCTTGCCCAGTCTCCTCTCCAGGCCATGAAATGTCCACAGGGTTCAGTCCCAAGGAGCACAAAGCTCTTGGAGCAGCAGCTTGGAGTTCCAACCCCTCTGAGATCCCTTCTATTGATCTGTGTGAAAATTCCTTGCAGATACCAAATGAACACCAAGAACTCCCTGGGTTTGGGATTTCCTATTTGTTTGTAAGTTCATTTTGAGACAAGATTATTTCATCCTCTATCCATATTATCTCAATAGTTGCAACACATTAAAATATTAACCATATATTAAATAATATTTTAATGTGGGTGGTGTAATTCAGTGTGAGCAGGGGCAGCTAAGGGCCAGCAAGGTCTGGCTTGGAGCACGGGGCTGTGGGAAGTTCTGCTGCTGCAAGGACAGTTGTTAGGAGTTTCAGGCCCCAAAGTATAACCAAGGGTTGGGTGAAACGAGAAAACAAGAAGGATGGGACTTCATAACCTGAAGCTGTAATTGGACAATGAACCCCAAGATGCAGATGGACCTAACTTATAAAAATGTGAGCCCTGGTGGCCAGTTGTCCATTTTGTGACCCTTTTTGGGTCCATCTTGGGTGTAGCCCTGGCCAGGCTCCTGTTCTGCCCAGGGTGTTTCCTTTCAGGCTTTCAATAAATCCCTGCTTTACTCTGAACTGTGTCCAGCCTCTGTTGTAGGTCGGCCTTCTCAAGGCACCAGTGACAGGGCTTCTCCTCGGCCTTGTGCAAGTGGAGCTGGCTGGAACCCCCCTGGAAAGGGCCCTGGGCTGGGGACAGTGGCTGAGGAGCAAAGAGAGACGAGAGCCGGGTGAACATTGCAATACAAGCCAGTTTTTATTGCCGTGCGAGGGTGGGAGGGGATCAGCAGGAGAGCAGGGCCCAGGCCGAGGCCTCCCCGCGTCTCCTGGCCGTGGACAGAGCCCGGTGCAGCCCAGGCCGAGCCACGGGAGCCGGAGCCGAGCTGGGTCCGTACTGGGAGCGGGCAGCGATTCCTGAAGGGATCCGAGCAGAGCATGAAGGCGGCAGAGCGGGGCCCTGGGCAGGCTGGTGGTGTCGCAGGCCTGGTGGCCGGCAGGGCCCGAGGGATGTCCTTGCTTCAGGCGGTGGCGAGCGGGGATGGGCCGGGGGTGATCATGGAGCTCTGCTGGGGCTGGGGTCGCACTCGGGCTGGGGCTTAGCAGGGCCCGCAGCCTTTGTAGCCACCACAGCTGCCCCCAAAACCTCCATAGCCCCCAGAACCTCCATAACATCCCCAGGCACCAGAGCCCCCATAGCCCCCGGAGCCTCCGGAGCCCCCACGGCGTCCACTGGAGCCGCCTCCGACGAAAGGAGCTCCTGCCGAGCCCACGGAGCTCTGCTGCGGGAAGGAGCTGAGGATGGGCCCGGGGAAGGTGACCACCGTGACCGGGGGCTGGATGACCACCGTGGAGTCAGGGCACTGCCTCACAGAGGGCTCGTTGGAGGTGTCAGCCAGAGGGGCCGTGGAGGCCAAGCCGCAAGGGGCACACAGGCTGGAGCAGGACATGGTTCCGACAGGTAAAGGTTTCTGGAAAACAGAAGAGGAAGAAGGTGGAAGAGGCATAGGTGTGAGGAAGGAGGTGTGTTGAGAGAGGCAGAGAGAGAACCCCAAGAGGCTTTGGGGAGCTGCACTTACCCTGGTGAGGAGAGGAGTCAAGTGGATGGATGCGGATGGAACTCTGCAAGGAGCTCAGGTCTTTTATACACCCCAGAGTGCCTGGGGCATTGTCCAGGCGGTGGGGGCAGATCCCCCTCCCAGTAATTTGGAATTCACACTGACAAGCTTCATAATGTAAAGGGACGCCGGAAAATTCTGTCATCCCCCCATTGTGGACAATGGCCTGGACATGAGTGGACAAGAGTGGACAAGAGTGAGGCGCTTACAAGGACAGCCGTGGCTCATCATTACGTGACAGACATGGTGCTGCTGGAGCTCAGCTCACAGCCCCAATAAACTCTGATTTGTACCTGATCCCTCGCTTTGCTGACAAAGAATCCTGAGAATCCTTTGGGATGCGGCTGTTCCCAGTCCCGCCACCCTGAGCCCCAGCCTGGCTGTGCCTGTGAGCCAGCAGTGCCCAGCTGGGCCTGTCCTGGGTCACAGCCAGGGCCAGCCTGGTTCTGGGGGGCTCAGCCAACACCCCCTGGCCCAGCCCTTGTGGCCAGCTGGGCAACCCAGGCCCTCCAGGAGGGCTGGGGCAGCTCCCAGCCCACAGCCATGGGTCTGAGTGTTTCTTGATCCTTTTTCTGCTCCCCTGTCCCTTCCTGTGCATCCCCTCTTACTCATTTATCCAATTCCTAATCCCACCCGTGTCCCACCCGTATCTGTGCCAAAATGGATCCTTGATGAAGCTTCATCTGGCATGGGATCCATCTCCTCTGCTTTTTGCATGACCATGAGGTGAATCGGGGACTGAGAACTGCAGTGGCAGGAACATCTCTTAGGGAATCTCCCTCCAAGAACCCTCTGTGGGAACCCTGTGGGGTGACCCTGCGTGTTCAGGACAGCGGGGTGATGACCCTTCCAGCCTGACCCACACTGGGACTCGGAGGTCCTGTGACGTCCCCTGCCACGTCTGGCGTTCGGGATGCTCCCGGAGTGGGTGGGATGGCTTCTTCCTCCCGGCGTCCCTATTTAGCAGCTCGTAAAAGGGATTAATGACAAATGCGCTGGCTGTGCCCAGCATTTCAAAGCGCTCCTGAGTGATGCCCCAAACTCTCGTGCATAAGCAAAGCGGGGGATTAGGGACACGTCGGGGTTTATTTGGGCTCTGAGTTCAGCCGCAGCAATGAATGATCCTTCACGCACTGATTGGTCACCATCTGTCCCTGCAGGTGCCCGGTGGCTCTCCAGGGCACCTTTATTGGTTCCGAGCCCCAATTAGGATGGATGTAATGGCCCCACGTTCCAGTTTGTGTCATGAGGCTTGTCAGCTTGATTCCGTGGTTAGCTGGGGCTCCTGCCCCCGCCCCCTGGCCCATGCCTCAGGCACTCTGGGCTGTATAAAAGGTCCAAGAACTCCACAGGTCGCCATCCAGCTCTCTCCACTTGACTCTTCTCATTGATCGTTCTGGTAAGTCCGAGTCCTCCCTCCAGCCTTCCTTCCTCACCTGCGCCTTTCCCAGGGAATCTTTGGATGGGCATTTCCCAAGGAATCTTTGTCCCCGTGCTCCTCCAGCCCTCCCAGTGCAGAGTTCGGATGGTTGGGGCTCTCCCCGTGGACTCAGGTCCCGTGGGAGCCGGCTGATTGGGATGTGGGAGTTTTTCTTCATTCCCTTGGACCGGCAAGAGCCGGGGATGGCGAGGGGAGCAGGGGAGCCAAGGAGCCATTTCAGCTGTGCCAGGGCTTTAGCTGGGAATGCCTGGCACGATCCAGAGCACATCCTGGGGCAGGGGCTGCAGGTGGGAGAGAGCCAGCAGGGATTTAGGATGAGTCTTTGGTGTGAGCCGTGGCTCTGCCTTGTCTTGCAGCTTTCCCTGCCAAACCAAAGGATGTCCTGCTCCAGCCTGTGTGCCCCTTGCGGCTTGGCCTCCACGGCCCCTCTGGCTGACACCTCCAACGAGCCCTCTGTGAGGCAGTGCCCTGACTCCACGGTGGTCATCCAGCCCCCGGTCACGGTGGTCACCTTCCCCGGGCCCATCCTCAGCTCCTTCCCGCAGCACAGCTCCGTGGGCTCGGCAGGAGCTCCTTTCGTCGGAGGTGGCTCTGGTGGCTCCTTTGGGGGCCGTGGGGGCTCTGGGGGCTATGGGGGCTGTGGGGGCTATGGCCGCGGTTCCAGGTCCTATGGAGGAGGCTGCGGCCCGTGCTAAACCCCAAATCCCCCCGGAGCTCGGAGCTGCCTCCGCCCACGGGCTCCACCAGCAGCCCCTCGTGTCTTCTGCCGCCTGAGCCAGGATGAAGCTGCAGCCCCTGCTCAGGGCCGGCCCAGCAGCCCCGGGAGCTGCGGGGTCCCTGTCACCTGCAGGGTGACCCCACAGAGCCTCGGCCGGTGCCTTTGGGGCTCCCAGCGCTGCCTCCTGAAGCTGCCCCCTCTCTGCCATCCCAGCCAGCTGTGCTGAGCCTCGGCTGAGGCTCTGCCCTGCTCTGCCCGGCTCCGAGGCCCCCAGCCCGCCCTGGGAAGGGGAATCTCTGGGCTGGAGCCCTGGCTTGGGCCTCGCTGCTGCCTTAGGATTTTTGTGTTTCCAGTGCGTTGTTGCTGTGCTGGTTTCTCTCTTGCTGCTTGTGGCCTTTTTCATCCACAATAAAGAATCTGCATTGCATGAACAATTTCTTCTGTTATGGATTTCTTCATCCTGTCCGCAAATGGGTCTCTAACTCAGCAGCGGTGTGAGGTGTCCGATCACGGAAACACAGGGTGGTTTGGGTTGGAGGAGACCTTAAAACTCATTCTGTTCCACACAGGGACACCTTCCCTTATCCCAGACTGCTCCGAGCCCACTCCAGCCTGGCCTTGGGCACTTTCAGACATGGAGCAGCTCAGGGTTCTTTGGGAAATTCTTTCCAGGGGCTCCCCACCCTCACAGGGAAGAATTTATCTCCAAAATCCCATCTAAACCCCCTCCCCGTCAGTCTGAGCCCATTCCCCGTGCCCTGGCACTCCATCCCTTGGGAATTGTCTCTCCCCGCGTTCCTTGTGGCCCCTTCAGGTCCTGCCAGGCCACCGTGAGGTCACCTCAGAGCTCCCCCTTCTCCATAAGGAGCAATCCCAATTCTCCCAGCCTTTCCTCCATCCCTCGGATCCTCCTGGAACCTCCTCTGGGCTCTCTCCAGCAGCTTCAGATCCTCCCGGGGCCGGGATCCAGGGCTGGGGCAGCTCTGCAGGTGGGGTCTCACCTGAGCGGGGCAGAATCCCCCCTCCCCTGCTGACTACACGGGGGCTTAGCCCGGTACACCCCCAAATCCTTCTCCCGGGGCTGCTCCAGCTGCTCCAGCCCATCCTGGATCCATCCTGGGGGTCTCCCCGATCCCTGTGCAGCTCTTTGGCCACATTAACCCTCCTGAGATGGGAATTCGCCACAACCACTCGTGGCAGGTCAGTGCCCATCACCCTCGGGGAGAAGAACTTCCCACCCAAACCTCCCTTTTCAAGTGATAAAGGAAAACAGAAAATGTGTTTTGGTACAGAACATTTATTTGGAAAGAGAAGCTTTCCTACAATAGTGGAACAAAACTGTACAGGGTACAAAAAGCATCGTTCAGCGAGGCTCTGGCAAATCGCCCGCATCCAGGTGACGCTGCCTGTAAAAACGGGGAATTTCCCTCTTTGGCAGCCTTGCCTTGTGCAATTCCGAGCGTTTTAAGTCACCTCTCTAAGCTCAGCGCCAGTAAAAAATCCGGGATAAGCCAAAGCACGGCGGAAGCAGATGTCTGCGCTGGAAAACTGCGGGAGAACAGCTCTAAACTAAGGGGGGAAAAAACCGCGAGGAATTGCGACACGAGCCTGCCTCCCCCGGGGGGCTCCTCTCAGGAGGAGCCGGAGCAGCCCCGCAGCTCCAACCCCAAACGACAACTGGAATTACATCTGGAATGACATCTGGAATTTCCCCTGCCAGGCTCAGTACGTCCAGCGCTTCCCGGAGCGGTAGGAATTGCAGGGATGAGTCCATTGCGAGGAGTAGGTGTAGGAATATTTGGGGGCGCAGCGCGGCTCGGGACGGGCCAGCACCGGCGCTGCCACTTTGTCCCCCGCCGCCTCCAGCCTGGCGGTGACCTCGGCTGGCAGAGCTGCCGGGGACTCGCCCAGGGCAACCTCCGAGGGCTCCGAGGCTCCCACCACGGTTTGCTGCGGGTACGTGGTGAGGATGGGCCCCGGGAAGGTGACCACCACGGGCGGGGGGTAGATGATGACCCGCGAGTCGCCGCAGGTCACCACGCAGGGCTCGTTGGTGCTGCTGGCCAGAGGCTGGGGACACTTGGGCTCGCAGGGGGTGGCACAGGACAGCTGGGTGGAGGCCATCGCCGGGGGAGAGCCTGCAATGCATTCGCGGAGTTAAAAAAGCACCAAAAAAACCAAACAGAACCGAGCTCCAGAAGCGAAATCCACAACTCCTCGCATCTTTCAGTTATTGACATTTGTCTCTCATTGATTTCCAGAGGTAATCGGGACTGAAACAATTATTGGTTATTGGCATTTAGCTCTAGGGGGAGCTAAAATCGAGATAAAAACACGATTTAAACGTTGTTTATTGACATTAAACTCTAGGGGGTGGTTAGCGATAATCGAGATAAAGGCACGATTTAAACGCCTTTTATTGACATTTTGGGATTTGTTAGCGATAATCGAGATAAAAACAGGATTTAAAGGCCTGTTTATTGACATTTTGGGGGTCGTTAGCGATAATCGAGATAAAGGCACGAGCCGAGCGCTTTTTTATTGACTTTTCGTGCTGAGATAACTCGGAAAAAGACAAGAGCTGCGCGCTTGACATTCTGAGAGATAATTCGGGTAAGAACAAGGGTTGATCTCTTGTTTATTGACATTTGGTTCTAAGGCCTCATTAGAGGTAATTGAGATAATTACAGGAATTTCTCTCTTGGCTATTGGCGTTTCGTTTGAAGATCTCGCTCGGGATAATTTAGATAAAGACATAATTGATCTCTCGATTGTTGATATTTGGCGTTTAGGGATCCTCAGGGATAATTTGGATGCTTTTACTTCCCCGATTTATTCCGAATTCCCTCATTAAACTTTCCCCTTTTGCTCCTCCTCCCTCCTCATATATATTTATATATATTTTTTATATATAATAAGAGGAGCGGAGCTCCTCCCCTTTCCTCTCGTGCCGCCCCAAATCCTCCCGGCCCTTTGGAGGAATTCCCAAGGACGCGTTGGAACTCGTTCCCACAGCTCCTCTGTTCCTCCCACGCGGGGGAAAAAAACCCAAAAAATCTGGATTTTCCACGTATTTCAGAGTGGAATAATCAGCTTAGCACCCTGCTTAATTTTTGTGTTATTTTCCTTGCAGATTCCTGTTGTTTTCAGACAGGAAAATATTCTGCTAAAACACAGGGGGAAAAAACCAAAAGGCTGAGAATAAGTGGGAGTGTTAAGCGCTCGTTTAATGAAAGAAACATATAATTAAACTATTTATATAATATAATATGTATTAAAATATTCATATAGCGATATAGTCAACCCAAAGAAGAAAATGACAGTCTCACCTAGGGGAAATTTATTCAATAATGTTTATTTCTTCAGGTTAAATCCCCACATAAAAGCCTGGTGTAGCGTCAGAATAATTTTTTAATCTCGTAAATGAAATTTATCTTTCTGATAATTAAAAAAAAAGGAAAATAAACGAAACCACCCATGCAGGGCATTTTCCTCCAAATTCCCTCGAGTTAGAACGCAGCACTGACCTACAGAAATGCTGTATTTAATCTCTGCAAAAGCGCTTTGAAATTTTAAATCAGTTTTAAGAGTTAGAAATGAAAGTTATTGGCACAGGTATGTTAATAGTCTGTAATCGTGGCTCGGTGTAGCTGGATGTGGCTCCAATTAAATTAAGGATAGGCTGATCCAAACGACAGCAGAGCTGCACCGAGCTCACTTCCAAGCAGGATTTTCCACATTTTTCCATGAATTCTGCCCCCCCCGATCTTGCCATCAAACCCACCCTAAACCCTGCCACACAATCAAACACGAAATTAAATCCATTCTCAAAACTTCCCCAAATATATCTATATATATATATATATAGATAGATATACAGATATATAGATATATATTGATATATAGACAAATATACATATATATATATATGTGTGTATATATGTATATATATATATATAATTTATTTTTTTCCCCCCAGAATTAAGAGTCTGAAATCCCTCATTCTCCCATAAATCCAAACGCCTTGGAAAAGCCCCGCTTTGCTTTTTGCACCCTTTGCCCAGCACGAAAAGCGCTCCAAAATCCCTCAGAGCCCGGATATTTAGGCAGGGCTCATCCCCGATTTTAAGCAGAAATCCACGCCAAAGCAGAAGGAAACTCGAGGTTTTTAGAGCCGGGGAGTCCAAACTTACTCAGAGAGGCGGAGAGAACGAGTCGGGAGAGGCAGTGAGAAAATCCCGGTGTGGAGAGGGATTTTATATCCTCCCCTGGATGGCCGGGGGCGGCTGAGCCACCCTTTGTGCAAAGCGATTTAATTACTCGGGAGCAGAGCCCGGTGCAGGGATCGCTCCTGGAGTCGCAGGAATTGTTTTGCTCGCTGTTTATGATTATCTAAAGCCGCGTTGGGCAATAACCCCAAAAATGCAGATGGGAACCCGCCAGGTCTTTTCATCTCGGAATTTCCTGCTTTTCCCCTCCTGGTTTTCATTAAGAGGTGAAAATGCACGGAGAATTAATGAGGTTTTTTAAGCTTATCTCGGCTAAAAAGCGCACAGGGAATCTTGGAGTGCCAAGATGATTTTCCTCATGGAAGCAAAACCTCTGACACCGGGAATTGTGTCCGTGCCTCGTTTAAAAGCTGGAAAATCAGGGATTCTTCTCCATAACCCTGATGGGATTTATGCGCTCCTAAAATCAGGGCTGCAAATCTAAAGAGCAAAGCTCGGGGTTATCTTTGGAATAAAAACGAAGCCCTTCATGAATTATGCCAGCTGTGAAGTTTGAAATGAGGAGTTTGATGAAACACTTTCCATAATTTATTCTTTGTGAGGTCACAGCAGCCCGGGTCCTCTGGGATGTCATTACCACGGAATGATTTCCCTGGGTGACAAACTCGCAGGGGTTTTGAGATCCTCTTTGAAATCTCATTTTTCTGGTGTCTCCGGAATATTCCCGATAAGCTCCAAAGCCCTGCGGGATCTCTGGAGGTGCCTCATAAAATCAGAATAATTCCTGGGATGGCACAAACGCCGGCATGGTTTTACCTCGTTTCGATGCGGGCATTTCCATGCGCAAAGCTTCCCTCGGGAGGGAAGACGGAGAGAAAATGGAAAAAAAAGGGGTGCAGAGCACCGGGATTTTGGGAAGGTCCTCCCAAGGATCGTGTGGATCCTGTTCAACCTTTTGGGATCACGTCCATGGCAGAAGAATCCTCTTTTTTTTCACCCCCAGGATTTAATCCTAACGAGGTTGGATGGACGTTGTCTATGAGGAGGAGCCCAAAATCCTGCCCCAAAATCGCTCATTTTATTCTCCACACGGAATTTTCCATGTCTCCCTTATCGCCCTTTGGAATTTCTCGGTCCCCCTGCTTCCATGGAATTCCTGTTCTAGAGCAGGAGAATTAAAGCACGTGGAGAAAGCGTGGAATTCACCCCACCGAAAGGATTCCGGCTCTCCTCAGCTGATCCCTCTGGAATTTGGGAAATCCCAACCCAGGGAAGCGAATCCTGCCTGGCAAAATCAGTCCCTGGAGCGCAACTCTGGGATCGGCTCTTCTCCGAACCCCCCGAAACGCAGAAATCTCGCTCGGGGATTTCTCTTTTCCACCCACAATCTGTGTTGTGCCCCAGAGACTGCATCTGTGGGGCCGGGGGTGGATTCGGACCGAAGGAGGGGAGGTTTAGGTGGGAAATCGGGAAGGAATTGCTCCCTGGGAGGCCCTGGCACAGCTTTTCCAGGGAATTCATGGGAAAATCCACTCTCAAAACTTTCAGATTTTTTTTTTTTTTTTTTTTTTTTTAAAAATAAAAGACTGAAAACCTTTTTCTCC